GCTATAGATTACTAATTATCATTTGCTTTAATTTATAGAAAATGATTTAATTAATTATTTAAATTCTATTACCTTCTTCAAAATCTACTTCATTAAAGTATGAATCATGCATATATGGGTCAATTTTTTTGAAAAAAATAATTTTTATAAAAATTCAAACATTAAAATATTAACTCTTGAACCCTGTAAATAATAAAATAAATAAATTATCTTAAAAAATTAAGTTGATATAAAATTTTCAAATCAATTATTTAAATCATAATAAAGTTTACTAAAAAATTATGTTTATCTTTCTCAATAATTAATTTTTAAGTTATATATTAATTTTATTAAAATGTCTAATTATTACATAATTAATAAAATATATAAATTTTTATTTAAACATTAATGATAATTAAATTATTATTTAAAAAACAATCTAGAGCCTATATATGAGTATAATTAATTATGGAGATTAAAAAAACAATTTTATTTTTTATTATTGTCTTACAACTTATTAATTTCTTCTTTTTCTTTCTCTCTTTTGGATTAGCTTAGTGGTAATGTAAAGAATTGGAATCTAAAAAGAAATGAATTTATAATTTAAATGCGGAAGCGATTAATAGAGTTAGAGTTTATATTCCTTACACAATAATTTAGAATGTCCAATAGGGCTACGGGAAAGTCCCTACTAAAAGATAAACGGTAATTAAGACAATAAAAAAAAGAACGAATAAATAAGTCTCATAAGACAACCTTCACTAGCACTTGAAAGAAGTCTGAGTGGTGAACTACTCACAACCCTCTTACTGATCGGGATCTGGAACTTGGTCTTCTTGATATGAAATAGTTAATGAAAGGGTGAGTTACACTAAATCAGTAAGAATATCACACTAATCACAGGTACGAAAAACTAAAAATTGGTAAAAATCATTAAACAACTAATGGAACCCTTAATTTGAGTAAATTCATTCAATATAAAGAAAATCGTTTATTCCATACTTACCGTACCGAGTTTTTCAAAAACAACATATAAAAATCTATATTTATATCACTTTTTATTTTCACGCATAAGATAACAAGAGACGATAACTTTCCTTTATTACCTGTTTACTGGTACCCTTGAGGGTCCATAGAGATATCTCTCTTCTCGTGAATCCAATATCTAATTTAAACAATTAAACAACCATCCCCATATCCCGTCTGGTAATGGGCACCAACTATTCTATCGCCTCGATACCTCATTCGGTATGAGAGTGAACCATATCTCTCAAACCTTCCTAGTAAGGGATTTCTGGTCCCGTTCGACTAAGGTAACGTTCACGATAGAGTTCCCTATATACTGAGCTCGTCCGCCCTTTTCTTGGGTACCTAGTAAGTCTTTCACATAAAAATTTTTATCAACAAAATAACCAACTACACATACCAATATCTCATATTACATTTACATATCAATTAAACTATATTCATGCTGACGGTATATAATCGAATAAATCAGATAAATTGATAAGGCTATATAAAATATAATTTAAGAACATACACCATATAATAACAAGTAAATAGAGCAGTACAAAAAAATAAACAAGGAATCGGGACAATCGTGAACTAACCAATTTTGCCTCCACTAGTGACTTGTAATTATTTTTAGAGTTCTCTAATTTTTTCATAAAAATATAAAATTATACATCATTGAGTTTCAATTTACTGTAACGGAGAATAGGGTGAGGGATCCTTATCCAGATCAGTTTTTCGAGACGTCGCATTATCTACTACGCCTCCCAATGGGTACTGGCTTTCTTGAATTTTTCCTATAGAAATCTAAAACACTCGTTACATACCTAAAAATACCTAAAAAATCTAAAATCAGTGTCCAAAACTCTTTTCGGCAAATTTTGGGATTCTGACACCGCGCCATCGCCGTGCTTTAGCATCGGCTGGGCAATGGTTCGCCTATGCTTGGCAAGTTTTAGTTGATTGTAGCCAGTTTTGCACGTATCCCTGCAGAAAAATATATTAGGGGACCTTGATTGACCGAGAAATCACAAAAACCAAACCTACCGGCAGGAGGACCTCCAAGTGCGGCGGTTTCACGAGTCCTCCTTCACGGCTGAGATTCTTTTTTTTGGCTAATCTATACAGAAAAAGACAATGAATACAATGATTAAAAAATTACATGAAACGGAAAGTGGGAAGGGGCTCATTAGAGGAATTTTTAGATTTTAACTGTGGTAGCTATACCGAACTTTGCCCATGATTTGGCTCACTTGTCATCCCTCTTGCTCGAATTTGGTCACATAAGTGCTGAAAATCGAATTCCAAGCGGATAGGGGAAATTTTTATCTTTATTGGCAACTGGCAGTGGCTCCGGAGCAGCGGCAGTCGACGATCAGCCTCTTTCTCTAGTGCGTAGTTCTTCTTGTTTAGCGGGGGCTGACGGCTAGGATTTGGGTTCCTATGTGACGCGAAGTATTTATGCCCATTTCACCTCGATCTGGATTATTCATCGCGATTGATCTCGTCTGTCCAATCGCGCCTTAAGATAGAACAAATCTGAGCCGTTCATCGTAATTGATCTTGTAGGAGGGAACGAATCTGAGCCGTCCATGCACACGGGATCAATCCTCAGTTGTCCG